GGGCGGTCGTAGACCATGAAGCAGCCGCTCTCCACCCTGCAGGAGTGACACCTGCTCAGGTGGGACGACATGTCGGCACAGTCGCTGCTGGTCTCATAGGAGCGACCCTGGAAGTTCTTGTCCTCGTAGAAGATGATCTGAAAAACAGGACAGGTTTGTGTATTTAGCTAATTAATCCAAACCGCGATGTAAATGCTAAACTCTGCAGCGAGCAGTTTCTGTGTATTCTCTTGACCGAACATCTCTTTCAATTCTTTATCTCGTGTATTTTAATGCGTTGTAAATCCATCTGCAGGCGCTGAACTAAACTTACAGAAAGACCAGTTTAAAAAAAACACGACCTGAATGTGTTTAAAGATCATAAAAAACAGCCGGTACCGTTAGGTATGAGAGACTCACCTTGCCGTGCATGGTGGCTGATGCTTTGAGTGACGCTATAGCATTTCTAACCTGGATTTAAACCTTTTTTATACCGAACGCTTCATCAGAACAATTGAGGGAAGAATTGTATGGAAGCCATGAGTCAGCAGCGTGCAGTGCTCTGGTCCCTCTGTTCGTGAATGCTGATGGGAGAAGCTCTTTATGCCTCCTCTCACAGGCTCGTTCTAGATTGAACGTCTCCTGTGTCGGTCATTTACGCTTTTTAAAATTGCAATAATATCTAGATGCTGTCTGAAATAGAATCTGAAATACGATCTGAAACATATGTCAGAGAAAAAACACAAAAGTACATGTACAACTTTAGTTTTATAACAATTTCACTGCTGGGCTGACTTTGCAAACTGTCGCAGTGGACGTACGTTATCTTTATACAAAAGTCAGCATTAATTCTGTGGACGACAAATAAATGTATTAATCTTAGATTTAAAAACTATTTGCTTTGTAAATGTTCCTACACACGACATCTTCATAACCTTATTGTTTGTGATACGGTTTGTTCATATATTATAATATTTGACGATGTGTAATGCAAACCAATACGTTTTCTCTACAGTATTATTATTCACATTGTGGAAGTGTGTTATAGATGAGAATCATCCTCCGTCAGGTCAATGATACAGAAAAAGTCAGAAACCATGAATTATATTTGAAAACATTTATTGACATGAGTTTATGCATCCAAATATTTCATGACGCCTTCTTGTCCAGGTCTGTTTGGAAAATTGATTCGAAACCACAATCAAACTTTTATCTGATCCAGTGACATGAATATTGAAAAAAGTTCATATTGAAAAGTATTGGACATAACTTGAATTGAAACATGGCAGGTTTGGCAGCTACTCCATAAATATGATGACGTTTAAAACAATAATCTCAAAAATGTAACATCAATACATTTGTTTTTATACATTTATTGAAAACTATATTGGCAGGAAAGGTCCAGTTGTATGTGCATTTATTAAAACAGCCTCATAACCTGTGGCACAGATTAAGAATTTATATAATTCACTATAATTAATATAATTTATATCTCAATGTGTCAGTGTGTTTGATTTACAATGAATTACATTGGCCTCAATTGTAATTTGTGTAAATAAATGAATTTATTGGATTTTGAATAAATACATTTCATTTGAAGATGTAGTTTTTTATGCAGTTTGAGTTGATCATGTTTTTCAACTGTTTCTTTTATATGTTGTGAACATGCCTGTTCTGGCAGCTGTTGATCATTTGAATACCTTTTTATTATAATGTGTTCTTCTTCTAGCCGTGGATTTTATTATTGTTCCTGTGAAGCGCTTGGTAACTTTGTTTTTGATAAGTGCTATACTACACAAATACAGTTATAATCATTGTTTGTAATCCTCATTGCATTGATTCAATGTGTGAAATCAAACCACAGAAAAAGAGCAGAAAAAAGTCCTTTTTGTTTCATCTTTCAGTTTTTTATTTCAAAATGAAAATATTTAGCACATGTCGGTGATTCTCTTCATGCTCATGAACCTGTTGCTGCTCATGCCCATGTCCCTGAAGTTCCTGTACTCTCCGGGCCTCAGGTACATCATCCTGCCTCTGTAGTGGGGCTGCTCGTACATCAGCCAGTGGCCGTCCATCACGTTGCTGGACATGCAGTCGGACATGCGGTAACGCTCCTGGATGTTGTCGCAGTCGTCCATCAGCTCGTTGCTCTGACCGCYGAAGTTCTCCCTCTCGTAGATCTTCATCCTGAACTGGCCGCGGTGCTGTTAAAGGCACAGAATAATTCATTCAGTTAAAAAAACATCATCGTTCCGTGGATTTAAAAGTTGCATCGCTGTGTTTGAAACTCACCATGGGGATCATACGGCAAGACYTGATACCACCGCTCATTCCCATCATGCTCATGTAGTCGGCGTACTCGCCCCTCCTCATGAAGTACTGGTTTCCCATGAAGTTGGGGCGCTCGTAGACCATGAAGCAGCCGCTCTCCACCCTGCAGGACTGGCACCTGTTCAGGTAGGAGGACATGTCGGAGCAGTCGCKCATGCACTCATAGGAGCGGCCCTGGAAGTTCCTGTCCTCGTAGAAGATGATCTGGAAAAAATCGTGAAATTTAGATTTCAAGTTGAGTTCGATTACTCTCCGTGAACTTTTAAAAATTATTTTTTACCCCCAATAAACCAGAAGCTTACCTTGCCCATGCTCATGTCAGTGGTGGTCATACTTGTAGGTGAGCTGCTGCTGTTGCTACTGCTACTGTTGCACTGCTGTCCTCTCTGGTTTAACCCTTGCTTTTATACAGGACCCAAACCAGCGGGGTCAGTGGGCCCCCTTTGTTTAAAGCCCTGACCCAGCAGCCTGCACCAGAGAACTGAACAGGCCTGTGTTGCTGTGTGTTGGCTCATCACATGACCAGGCCCTCGAAGACTTTAGAAACTGTCTCTCTTTTGACAATATGAAACAAAGCTCTTTTTCAATTCTGAGCTCATTGTGTCTGAGCGCGTCGCGAACGTCAGACGCAGTCCAGTGACAGTTACGTTAAAAATCTGCATTGATCGTTGATCAAAGAGCTCAACAGAGCAATTTTATCTCTCAGTTGATCTTCAGCTTGTGATCGTCGTTCCTGAAAGTGAATCATCATAGTTTTATCCTTTTAATCTTGGAAGTGATCAGCTGGACAATAAGGTGGAACGAGAGTCATGCGTATTGTCTCACACGTTGATTGATTTTGACTTCAAACATCAGCTCACTTCACAAGTGGCTCCGTTAGCTTCCATCAGACAGTGGAGTCCTCATCGCTGTCGGGAACAAAAGACATTTTAAATAAATTGAGCTTATCTTTAGCTTGTGCTCGCTGTTCTTGAAACTGAATTGTCATAGTTTTTAGCTTTTCAATCGTACAAATGATCCGCTGGACAAGATGAAATCAGAGTAATGTTTATTGTTTATAATGTTGATCACTTCATAAGATGCTCACATCAGCGTCCGTCAGATGCACAACGTACGCATCATTACAGTCATTACAGTCGGTGGACAGCTCATCAAAATAAGCTCATTTGTCTTTTAGTTCAAATTTGTGCTCGATGTTCAAGAAGCGTGAAACTGAATTTTCATAGTTTTTGCTTCATCGTCTTAAAAATGCAGAAAGACAGGACGTGATGAAAGAAAAGTTTATTTCACAAAATGTTGCATTGACACCGAACATGAGCTAATGTAGGTTTACAGGGAAGTTCTGTTCGTTTGCACATATTATTTACATGTTTACATGTTTACATGGCGACAACAGTTGCAATGATGTGTTGAATCGGCCTCTGGGGCCTTTCTGGCTTCTTATTGGTCAGTTCAGTCACATGAGAGTCAGAAGCAGGAAGTGTGTGTTTGAGTGGAGAAATGTGACGTGTGGCCTGAAGACGTCATCCGTATCCATCCTGTGGTTTATTCACATTAAGAGTGATTCAACTGCCCGGCATCGAACCGTCACGTCGAACCGACAATAGCTTGTTTGGTAAGTGGTTCCCTTTTGCTTGAGTGTTTTACTTGAGATTGAACATGTGGCCATATTGCTTCTGAAACAGAATTTTGATAGTTTCAGCTTTTCAATCGTACAAATCGTCAGCGAGACGTCACGAGAGTAATGTTCATTGACACCAAGCTAAGATTAACTTGCTTCATAGGAAGCTCAACAGGGTAAGTTTAGCCATTTTATCTTTTAGTTTATGTTCACAGTATATGTACTTATATTTCTCATGTCCTTTCTGTTAATGTTTTGTAAAACTGTAGTTGTTGCCTGTTAATCTTACAAATGACTCAAAGGCTCTTTTTAAGTGGCTCCTGTTCAAACACAACAGCGCGTCTGAAATCACATCAGATTTCCAAAGCGTCTCAGATGCTGTAGATGTTCGTCTACGATTTGAAACTAGAAAAAAGACGTGACGAGCATGAACCAGTATTTTGTAGCACGGTTGTCAATGCTAACTGTGTGTTCATTTGATTTGTATGGTTAATTTGTACAGATCATAATTTAGATGCCTCTCAAATGAAAAGCCTATATTTTATTTTTCATCTCTGATAATCAGAATCTTGCAAATTCCCTAATTATTCTATCAAGGTCTGTGGTACTTCTGTCTATTGGGTCGATCTTTAAATTTTAAAGACAATTGTGTCACGATATTAAAAACGGCACAATGAATATGTTGGATTTAATGACCCATCATTTATTACTGTTTGGTCGTGAGTAATCTTGTGACAGGGCAGTAAGCTCAATACAAAATCATGCAGTGCAGCAATTTCTTTATTTAGTGACATTTGCTACAAACATTGAACATTGAGTGAACGTTTAGTTGCAGGAATCCATGATGCGCCTCATGCTCATGAACCTGTTGCTGCTCATGCCCATCTCCCTGAAGCTCCTGTACTCTCCGGGCCTCAGGTACATCATCTTGCCTCTGTAGTGGGGCTGCTCGTACATCAGCCAGTGGCCGTCCATCACGTTGCTGGACATGCAGTCGGACATGCGGTAACGGTCCTGGATGTTGTCGCAGTCGTCCTGCAGCTCAATCATCTGGCCACCGAAGTTCTCCCTCTCGTAGATCTTCATCCTGAACTGGCCACGGTGCTGGAAATCCCCCCCAAAGAAGTTACATGTCAGAAAAATGTCAGAGCCGTAGAAGTACTAGCGGTCAGGGGACGCTGTACTCACCATGGGGATCATGCGGCAGGACCTGATGCATTCTCTCATTCCCATCATGCTCATGTAGTCGGAGTACTCGCCCCTCCTCATGAAGTACTGGTTACCGATGAAGTTGGGGCGGTCGTACACAATGAAGCAGCCGCTCTCCACCCTGCAGGAGTGGCACCTGTTCAGGTAGGAGGTCATGTCGGAGCAGTCGCTCATGCACTCGTAGGAGCGACCCTGGAAGTTCTTCTCCTCGTAGAAAATGATCTGGAAAAAAGCAAAATCGTGAAAGTTAGATGGGGAAACAGCGGTAGATAGGCGAAATTAAAATAAGTGACTTCCAGTTTATTAAAAAAGAGGATCAGAAGCACCTTTCCCTTCATGCTCATGCCGGTGTTGCTCATGTTGGCTGTGGATGTGTTGACTCCTGCTACGGTACTGCCTGACTACCATGGTTTAACCCTTTCCTTTTATACCTGACTGAATGTACAGGACGAGTGGCCCCCTTCAGAGAAGCCCTTACTCATCAACTCATTATTGAAACCTATAGAACACAGATTTCAGTAAAAAGCCCTTTCATCCGCCATAGAAAGCAACTTACAAACGTGTTGGTAATATGTGAATGGGCCGAGCCAGGTAACTGTGAACAATTCAGCGAATGACCTGTGTGGGCCATAATGTTTCTGTATTTTATTTATAATTTAGTGTTTTTATGATGTTATAAACGTACACGATTTAACTCAAAGTGAGTTATACTGTCTGTATGCTGCTGTGGGGTTTCCACATGTTTTCTGTGGTATTAAGTTAAATGTGTTTCGTGTATTGTAAATATTTGATTTACCCAAATAGATCCTGCTCAAAGTGAATTAACTGAAACACAAATCATAGACCTTTAAATAAAGATGGACGAAGTATCGCCACTTCCTCCTTTTGTGCAAAAATATCGATATCGAGGTTCCATCGATACACAGGCTCGACCAATCATGACTCGCTCTCAGCTCTCGATGTTTTTATCAAATAAGTGAAACAGGAACAAACACGAGTGTAATAAAAACTCCGTAAATGAAGGAAACCAACATTGGAAAAATTGTATTTACTTGTACTTAGACTTTTTAAGTCCATGTCCCACATGGAGGAGGCAGAATTTATGACCTATGCTGCCGCTAGCCACCAGGGGGAGGTCAAGGTATTTTGGTTACATTTTTAGGGAGACGATTTCCCCCCCTTGAAGGGCCCCTTTCCTGTCTGTAGTCTTTATTTTATTTTTTTAATTAAAGGCCAAGTGTGCAGGATTCAGGTGAAAGGGTCTATCGGCAGAATATAAAACAATCGTAGTGACGTTTTCTTTTAAATTGTACAAATTGTTGTTTCCTTTTCCCTAGAATGAGCCTTTATATTAAAATACTTTATATTAAAATACTTTATATTAAAATACTTTATATTTACATCAGGAGCAGGTCCTCTCTACGGAAGCAGCCATGTTTTTTTTTTTTTTTACAGAAGCCTAAACTGGACAAACTAAACATCTTTTGAGTTTTTATAACAACTGAAGCGACCACAGGTTCTCTGTCATGTTTGGAAGGGGATGGTGAGGTGAGGGGTGTTCAGCTGCAACATGTAACTTCACCACTAGATGTCACTACATTCTACACACTGAACCTTTAAGTGGTCACTTACTAACAATACATATGACAATTTGTTAAGAATAACTCAGACAATGTGTAACAAGGAACTATTTTAATAATATGTTCAATGATTGGTGACTTTGCTCAAAGAGATAGAGCTAACGGTAAACAAGGAAATGTGGACTTTACAGAATCAGGAGTTGTTCACAGATGTTGTGCATATACTAGTATTTGGCTCCTTTGTGTAAACTGTGGCCCCTTCGTGGCCCCTGGTTTAGAAAGATCCTGGATCCACCACTGCAGAGGTTCATCCTCTCAGTCAATTAGATTTTAATATTTTGTGTGGCCTGATGGTGGTGCCACAGAAAAGGTCGGCAGAGGTCATGGGCAACAACAAAAGCTTTTGGATTCATACAATGTCAATGAAATGTCAGCGAGGTGCAACTTTGAACTGACAATGGCAGCGAGTGAAGTTCAAGAGGTCATGAAAATCATCCGACTCGTCTTTAGAGGGTTAACGAATATTCCTGTTTTTTATGGATACAGCAGCTTGTGACTGAGAAAGTGAATTGATACCAAAACCAATGTGATCTTTGAAAACATAATAATGTGTGTTTTTAAATGATACTGCACATGAATGAATATTTATTTTAATTTTAAGGATAAAAGCTGTGGAGACATTTATGTTCCCTGGGTTACATTCATTGTTT